CTGCTTCTCCCTTTCCCGCTCCGCCTGCTTGTGTTCCCTCTCTCACTGCCTCTCTCTCTGTCAAATAAATAAATAAAATCTTTAAAAAAAAAAAAAAGATGTCTATCAGGATACGAATTGGTAAATTTGTCGGATTTTACAAACCACTGGGTGGAGACAGGGCTGGAGGGTTCTTAGGGAAGGCTAGCCACCTGGGCCAAGGTTTTTCTGCTGTAAGGCTTATCCTATCGCCTAACAGAAATGCATCTCCTGCTGAAATGGACTGGTGACTGCAATGGTCTTTGTTTTCTTCCAACTATAAAGTCAGATCACATGGAGGGATGTAGGGGAAGGAAAGAAGATAAAAATCAGGACCTAATCTCTTAGCAGAAGTTGAGATAAATGGCCCAGGCTTTTGAATAGAGAGCCCTCATTTGTCCCAAGCTTCCTGATTTCCCTTCTGGTCTTCACTGTGAGGTGTTCGTGGATGCTCTACTCTCACCCCATCTACAGCAGATGCCTGTTCTTTGAAACCCTCAGCCCTCGGGTCTGAGTACATGAGAGTCACGTGGACAGGCCAAAGGATGGGGCCAAGTCTCCTTGAAAGTTTTTGTTCTACATTTTCAGCTTCCAAGAATACTTTCCAGGGATCCCAAGGGATTACCACCGCTTCCCAACAGCTTACATTAGCATCAAGACAGCATCCTGGATGTCCAAGCAGGAAGTATCACAGACTGTCTAGTCTAGCCCACTCCTTGTAGAGATGAGTAAAGTAAAGCCAAGGTGGGCAGGCAGGGAGCAACTTGTACCAGGTTACAAAATTTGTGGAGTGAGGACTAGACTCAGTTCTGCTTGATCCTTGCCCAGGGTCTCCCCGCTGTCCCAGTATCACAAAAGCATAAACCTTGAGGGCAGGGGTGGGCTGCACTGGGGGCGGCTCAGTTCTCCTTTCCCTTCCTCTCAGCTTCCCCAGCTCTGACCAATTGGTGTTAAGCTCTCAGTGGTCATAGCCTAAAGGTCTAAAGGTCAGTTTCAGCCTCAGTATTAGGAGACCCTGCAGCCCCGTACCCCAGGGCTCACTCCACCCATAATGGTGCTCTCTGATTCCTGCTGTCCTCTCCCTGTTAATTCTTTGCTCTCCAAGCAATCTCTCCAGCTCTTTCCCCTGGGTTCTAGGCTCAGATGGAGGGTCCAGAGGGGAAAGGGGAAGGCACTGGAGCCTGTTAGCTGAGCCTGAAACTCAGCTGCCAGGTCTGATTTCAACACTCAACTCAGTAGTTTGTGGCTGTTATGAGCGAGCAGAGGGCCCTCCGCATTTACCTTGGGGGTTCTGAATGACAGCTATTATAGACATACATAACTCCAGGAGGATATTCCCAGAGTACAAGGACACTGGATGGAAGAGAGCCTCCAAGTTCCCCTCCGTCCCCTCCTCACCCAGGCAAATGGCCCAAGGCTCTGGGCTTCAGTTGGGGACTATGATGACAGCAAAGCCTGGAACTCTCCTCCAGTACCCACACTTGACTGTCGCCTCCACCTCTATCTCACACCAAGTTAGAGAGCGTGGAAATGAGCAACTGGTCAGTGATGGGCTCTTTAAAGCCTGGGAGCTGAAGTTTCCCCACCATACCTCTTCTCTCTCCACTGAATGTGTTTGGTAAAAACAAAATAAAAACTATGCAGTTACCCACCTTGTGCCCCACGCCACACATAACACAGAAAACAAAAATGGAATTTCAAGTACATTTGGGAAATGAGGTTCAATAAATACATTTCTTTGCTTCACAGCTTAGTGGGCTTTGTAAATCTCCCAGTGGAATAAACATGTTTCCTGGGGACACAACTAGGAAACAGCTGTCCTAGAGTGGTCTTAAGAACCAATTCAAGTCAAGTATACAAATGTTCTTCAAGAACTATTTTTTTAAAACTACGCACATGTATTGCAGGCAACTGGAACTTGAAAATAGGGTTGCCTCTTGAAATTTGCACTAGATCAATAAATAATGAATTGGAAACAGATTGGGGGAACATGGAGAAGGTCTGATTATAACATTAACATATCTAAAGGAGAAATGGAAATTGGAGAAAGGCTAATTTAGGAGGCCAGTGTGACAGTGCTCCACTAATAATCTCTGCTATTAAAAGAGGGTGTCGCCTGCTTAGTCCAGCTGTTTGGAGCTGGTAGTGGAAATACCCACACAGGGGTGACAAAGTCTCTCTCCCTGGCCAAACTCAAGTCAGGCTCCTCTGAGCTCCTTTTCCAACAAGGTCCTTTTCCCAAGGTCATCCTCGTCTGCCTACTAAGTCAGTTTAGAGAGAACCCTCCACCATATTGGGTCACTGTTGATACCTGCTCAAGTTTCTCATCCTCCACCTTTGATGTACAAGTCTTGACCTGTCTTCAGCAAGAACCCTGTTAAGTGGGTTTAGCAAGAATCCCCCTATCCTCGATGTCTCCTCTTAATAATTTTCCATCTGTTTGTTGGCTGGAAATCCCCGGATATCTTTGCTGTATTCAGAGTGGAGCCCAGTCTCTCTTTCCTGTTGCTATAGTCTTTTTTTTTTTTTTAAAGATTTTATTTATTTATTCATGAGAGACAGAGGGGGAGAGAGAGAGAGAGAGAAGCAGAGGGAGAAGCAGGCTCCCAAGGAGCAGGGACCCCGATGCGGGACTCGATCCCAGGACCCTGGGATCATGACCTGAGCCGAAGGCAGACGCTTAACCATCTGAGCCACCCAGGCGCCCTCCTATTGCTATAGTCTTGACCCCTGTTGCAATATTCCCAAATAAAGTCTTCCTTACTGTTTGAATAAGTGTCAAATATCTTCTTCTTCTTCTTCTTCTTTTTTTTTACTTTAATAAAGGTGAGGGATGGGAAGGATCCAGTACTCCTACTTGTTGCCTTCAAACATTAGAACCACTAAAATAATCAGCCTTGTTTTTCTTTCATGTTCGCCTAACTGCCTCTGGTGGTTTCTACCTTCCAAAGTTGTTTTCAGGCTGAAGAAAATGCCCATCACCATTTTATAGTTTTTGGTATTAATAAATGGGCATTGATGCTGGTTTATATATTTCTGTGATTAAGTTAACCATGGAGTGGTACCCCCAAGTTCAAGTACATTGACAAAAATCGAGTTTCTGGGGCTGCAAAAGAGAAACCAGGAGGTGAGATCTGGCCACAGAGAGCTACAGCATTTAAGAATCCATGCTAGAGCTTAGATGACACAGCTACCTAATGAACACCAGCAACCAGAATTCGATAGGGAGTTAGAGAGAGGAGATAATGTGGGTGATACCAACTATTTGGGCTGTTGCACTCAGAATTTAATCCTCCTTCTCTCTCACTGCCTACACCCTAAGATTCCATTATATCTTGTGTTTCTAACCTCTATCTCTCAGATCTACCAATGGCTTTATCCTGACTTGGAGATTTTATTAAAATGCAGATTCTGTTCAGAGGTCCAAGCAGGGGCGGGGACAGGAGTCTAGTTCTAGAAAGTTCACAGGTGTTTTGATGCTGCTGGTCCAGTGATACCCCACCCCTTTGAGCATAGGAGGCAGGTGCCATCATCTCTAGCCTTGGAGTATTGCCACAAACTCCTAATTGGTCTTTCTGCCTCTTTCCAATCCATTCCCCACCCCACAGCTAGTGTGGTCTTCCAAAAATCAAATCTGAACAAGTTCTTCCACTTTTCCTTGCTTCCCATTGCCCTGGGCACGCTCAGATCCTGCTCCTGCCTCCCACTGCATCTTCAGTCTCCCACTCCTATCTCACGCTCACTGTCCCAGCCCTGGTGAATTAGGCTCAGTTCCTATGAGCACCCTGTGATCTGTATTTCTGAACTTTCTCAGAAATCCTTCTTATTTTACAAACATTATTTACCTTCTGATTCCCATCTTCATCCCTCCCAACCCTTCCAGGCTTTTGAAATCCAGTCATATACCCTTCCTTCTGCTGTGATTCTATAATACTCTGGACTTTCATCATTGTTCTTATGAACCTATATAATTGAAGTTTCTATCATTAGATTATGAATGAAGGAGAGAGAGAAGTACCTGTATTTCTTTTCACTGTATCTCCATCGCATTGTTTTGCATATAGAAATGTTTAAAATAAATTTATTGAGTTGAATTTATTGAATTGAACTGGAAAAGGGAGAGCATTCAGAAAGTAGAAGCCTACCTGGGTTTAAAATTTATATCCCATTGGGTCTTCTTCATAGTCACATCAAGGTTACTATATGTTAAGGATAAAACTGATTAGGTTATCAAACTGAAATCACAGTCTAAAGCTTTCTAACTACTTTAGAATAAAACTAGGCTTGAAGTTCTGTTTAAGTTCTGTCTTACCTAAGCAATACAGAATACATATTATATATATATATAAAACAAGGCAGCTCTGACCAGCTGTTCTCTACTTTTACAGAAGAGCTAGCAAATATAAACAAAAATTGCAGTAAGATAGGCAAAATAAGAAAAGACTGGATGGTAAGTGGGGAGACAAGTTAAATGTAAAGTTGCTCTGTGACAGACCCTTCCAGAGAAGTTTCACATGATAAACAGTTCTTTAATCTTAGTATGTGAGATGCTGTAAATGGGTCTTAACAGTTATAATTTTTAACAGAATCTCCAAACTTTACATTATGTTCTGAGATCCCATAGTGTATCATTTAAAAAATCATAATAGAATCTTCTCGAGAGTAAAACAATGGCTCAGTCGTTAAGCGTCTGCCTTTGGCTCTGGTCATGATCCCAGGGTCCTAGGATCGAGTCACGCATCTGGCTCCCTGCTCAGTGGGGAGTCTGCTTCTCCCTCTCCTCCCTGCTCCTGCTCTCATTATATACAAAATTATAATTAGCAATTTGTTGTATTTTCATAGTTTTTCACTATGCTTTGCTTTTATTTTTTCAAAGAAGGATGGCATAATGAAAGCACTAGGATCTAGCTTTACTTCTTGTTTTCTCATTTTTACCAGATCCTGAATCTCGCCTCTAATGTGGCTCAGGATTCTGGGGTAGAATGGATTACTTCATTCCCATGAAGGTATTACCTGAGATGGAAAAGGTCACCACTGGGAGCCCACCTGGCTCACCCGGTGAATTCCTCGCTAGTAAACAATACTCCCATTGTCTTTCCTCGTTCATTGCTCACAGAGCCACGCCTGTTGGCCAGCAGCCGCTGCCCAAACTCACCTTCTTCGAAGGAATGAAGAGAAAGAAGAAACACAGAAAGCTGGAGTTAGGGAATAATTGAATGTATCAAGGTATCTTTCGTGTTTTCTGTGTGAGAATATTCAATATTTTCATGGGTTTGAATTTACTTTTAACACAAATATGATAAACCTATTTATCGAGTACCTTGGACAGGCTAGAACTTTAAATACGTATTTTATTTTGTCTCTGTGACAACCAGGACGATTAGTTATTAAACTCCCCAACAAAACTGAGGCCCCGGAGAGAATCAATCTTAGTCAGTGGCTGATCCGGGATTCAGCCTTGGATCAGCCTCATTTCTAAAGCCCAAGCTCTTTCCTCTAAGCTCTGCTGCCTTTGAGAAAGCAAAACGCCAAAGACAAACTCATAGTTAAAAAATAAAGACAGAGGAAAAAATGAATGCAGGTATGAACAGTCTATCCGGGTGTCCAAAGAGCACGTGACCGGCGAATATTGGACCTCTGCGGGACTGGGGTCCGCGCCTCCGAGCTCCCCTCCGCACCTGCCGGTTTAACAGCACGCTCTGTGGCTGCGCGTTACCTAGGAAAACTGCCGAGCGCCCAGTGGAGGAAGCGCGGGAGAACTGCAAGCGGACTGAAGATTGTTAGAGTCTTTAAAATATGTATTTAATCTGTCCACGTTCATTTCCACTGCCACTTCCCCGCTCAACTACTCGGTAATAACCTTGTAGCTCTCTACTCTTCCAGCTTGCCCTCCCCCCAGCCCTTCTCCACACCCCCAGGGAATCAGATCCTACGTCCCAATCTTCCGTGGCTGCTCGCTGGTCCGAGGATCAAGTTCAGCATCCTTTACGTGGCGTTCCAGGCCCTCCACGTTCCGACCCCTGCTCTGTGCACCGGCTTCCACCTCTTACCGTGTAACAACCTGTGCAGCATGCTCCAGACACTCTGGCCTTATCCTCCCTCAGCTCCTTCGCACACCCGCGCTGTTCTCCTGTTCCCCGCCTTCTGCTTTCCCAAGTCCCACTCACTCTCCCTGTCTCGGCTTAGAAGCCACTTTTTAAGTGAGGCCTTTCCTGTCTGATTCCTCCCCCGCGGTCTCCTCCCCCGCCATCTAATTAGATCTTCCGGAATGTGCTCCACTAATACTCTTCATGTCACCTATTGCAATATGTATTATATACTTGCCTGATTATTTTTAACGTCTGCAAGTGTCACAAGGGCTTAGCACTGTGCCTGGCTGCCACACTGCTGGACCTTAATAACTTTTGAATGAATGAATGGAGGGACTTGAACTGGGAAATTGTCAACCGTCATCAGCCTATCAGACAATATTTCGAGTCCCCCACTGCTGCTATCACTGGCATGCCCGCCCCCGTGGGGCTGGCAAAGCCCTGGTGGAAAGCAGCTTTTCCCACCCACCCACCGCGCGCTCAGGAACGCGGGGGAGGACCTGGGCACAGCGGGGCTCGCGGCAGGTCTCAAGACCAGGTGTCCTCCTGGCTCCCAGGTTCACGTGCATTGGGGGAGGAGCGGCGGAAGAAAAGGACTGAAACAGGGAGCGCCGGATACCTAGAGGGGACCACGGGCGGCGTCTGGTGCGCCTCGGGCCTCGAAGCCAGCCGCCGCCGGGGACCTCGACTTCCTCCTTTGGGGGCCGGCGCGCGGGGTTGGGCGGGGCGGGCGACGCCCCCGCCGGGCTGGGCTCCCGGCCGCCCCAATGGGATTCGGTGCGGGGCGGCGGCTGCGCCCAGTCCCGGCGGCGTGCTCGGCCGCGGAGGAGGCGGCCCGGCAGGGGCAGCGGAGGCGCTGCGCTCGCCTAGGGGAGGCCGAGCGTGCCAAGCTGGCGCCCGGCGGGGCCATGGTGGCCGGCGCCCGCGGCCTCCTGGCCCTTCTGCTTGTGGTCTCCGCCCCGCTCCGGCTGCAGGCGGGCGAGCTGGGTGAGTGGAGGGCGAGTGGAGGGCGGGCGGCGGGGCGGGCCAGGCTGGGCCTGGAGGGACCCGGCGCGGGAGGAAATGGGGTCGCCGCCTGCACCCCACGGACTCCTGCTCTTTCTGGCCGACGGCGGCTCGAGTGTAAAATATGTTACAGAATTCCGATCGCTCCCCCACCCAACTCCTTCCTTCTCCGCTCGACAAGAGAAGCAACTTTACACCTCCCCACGTTCCCTCTGCTTTCCCGCAGCTGGGCTCACTCTGCTTCCAGACTTCCTGACTCCGCCGGCCCCGTGAAAAGTGACATGGCCCAGGGGTCGCGCGCTGACGACCCCGGCCGCCTTAGGGGAGAGTCGTGTGTGCGGGGACGCTGCTTTCAAGCCTTCTTGGACAGGGCTGCTCAGCAGCTGGGCGGCTGGGCCCTCCCGGTCCCCTGTCCTCCCTGCGCGGCTGCGACCCTAGCGTGTGCATTTGCCGCTTGCAGGAACGGGGGGGGAGGTTCCCCCGAGGTTGGGAAAGAGGGCCGCCCTGAGGCTCCTCACCTGTGTGCTGCTTGCGCCCCAAGTTGGAGTCATGTGGCTCGGCTCTTTCCTGGGTGTTTGAGGGAGTCGACTCCCGACTAGGCTGGTCTTTTCTGTGGACCTGGTCCTTGGTTTCAGGTTGGACGTGATTAGTTCATAACCGAGTTTACCTCTGCATAGCCACCTGATTAAAGTAATAAACTGTTTTACCAGCCCAACAAATCCTTGTTAATTAGTTCTTTACTGATAGGGCAGCTTTCTGCGATTTTTCAGTTCTTGTTTTGTTTTTTTTTTCTTCCTCAATTCTGCCCCTCTACAACTGAGGATATTTAATGGCACTAACTATCCAGAGTATTTTACAACTCCCCGACCCCGGCGCCGTGTTTTCTAATGAAACAGGAATCACAGAGAAACCAAATGCTGGCATTTTCTTCACTGAACCACGTATCCATTCCCAGTCTGAAACATGGATACTCAAGATGTTAGTAGTGGTTCCTAAGTTTGCTTACATACCAGTTTGTTTGTTTGTTTCGTTTTTTTAAAAGCTGAAGTTTAGACAAAATATGTCTTGGCACTAACAGAATGCTACCCATATTGTAAAGTTTTAATAAATAATGTATGTTTTTATTAAATATGTAGGATTTTGATCATCGGTGTTTTAAACATTTAAAAAATGTTTCTGTCACTATTAGATGGAACGTCTATGAATGGGTCCGATAATGTGTTCCTGTCCTAATCTGGCCACAACTGTCATCCATTTTTCCAAACGAAGTTTCAGATGTTGGACGATCATCTAGGCTGTTGACTGGGTGATTTGTCGAGCAGTTCTTCTGGAACAAGTGTGGTTTCTTAGATTCTTATCGAGCTTCAAATTTGACACTTGATAGCAGCTGACTGGCAGAAGAAGATGTCATTTGAGTTTCCATGAAACATCCTATGTGTTTAGGATGTTAAAAGAACCAATGAAGGCATAAGTATTCAATCACACAAAGAAGCAAAACTTAGATTTGGCGCATTTTACTGAAAAAAAAAAATCTTCTAGGATCTCTGGTCTGATATGTCTTGAGTGAAACCATAATCAGTGATTTTTTTTTTGAGTATTTCTCACATCTGTGATTTTTCTCCATTAGCCCTTGGTCGCTTATTTTGCGAGTTTCCATAAATTTAAACAGGCACACCCATTTTAGGTCTTGAGATAGGCTACTGGCTACATAGTCGAGTGGTGGTCATAAGTGATATGAGCAATCTTGATGCTTAGAAGAGGGCAGCTCTAGCAGAACAGTCTGTTTTTGGTGAGAAGTTGACACCATTTATTACATTTTACCTTCATCATTCTTGGAGTCAGCTTAGTCTGGTGCTTCTTGGGTCCCAACCTGCCTAGTCACCACTATCTCCAGAAGCTTTATAAAGCCCCAGCCTCATGTTATGAATCAGAATTGCAAATGGGTGGGGCCTGGGAATAGGCACTTTAAAAAAAAATTCCTCCAGGTAATTCTGATTCTAATCAGCTTTGAGATGGTGGAAACGTTTTATGTTAGGATTATAAAATGCTACCATCTGTGTCATAGACAATTTAATATTACACTTTTATTCACTGGATTATGTTTCAGGAAACAAATGCGATAATTTAAATCTTTATAAGCAAGTCAATGAAATTATTCCAGTTTTTTATGTCAGAGTCTGGGGAAGCTATACTGGTTCCTTTGTAGTCTTCTGTTTGCCTGAAGGTGCTTTTGCTCAGTTTATTTTTTTAAAAAGTGGCCACCTCTTCTAGTATTTGTAGCCTGCTAGGCCCCAGACCCCAGGACTTGATGAGCAGAATTTGGTCTGACTTCTGCTCCTCCTTATATGTCCTGCTCCTCTGGACCAACTTAACTAAATTCAGATATTTACACAGATTGTTTCACATGATTTTTGATCTTACATAACATCACATATAAATTGATCTTTAGTATTAGTTCAATCAGTATAAATTCATAGGCTTGGACTTAGGTCTTCTTACCTTGATTATAAGTTTTGAGAACAAAATATCCTAATTCGTGTGATGAATTTGTGCTAACTAAAAATCCCTGATTCTCTCCTCACCAAAATATTCAGAGATCTATATTAAAGATTTCCTCCTTGTGACTTAAGTATTAGTGAAGAATAAAAATAAGCAATTGGTCTCTAAGGAAATTTAAGCATAGAATTGGATACTTTAAAATTGCTTTAAAAATTCTGCTCAACTCTCATTTGTTACTATCGGAAGGTCTGTTCTTAAGTCATCACTCTTGCGTATTTTGGTTAGGTATGGGACAGCGGATGTCTGATGTTCTGGGTGAGTGGCTTCTTAAAAAGTAAGCACAAGCTTATTCTGGTACCTTCTGTATCAGTGTGTGCACTCGCCCCAGCCTTTCCATCATCTCTGTGGTCTGGGATTCTCTCTACCCTGTTGGACTCTGAGTTCCTGAGGGAGTGACTGGGATTGTCTTTATCCTCCTAACACCCGACAAAGGTGCTCAATAAATGTTTCTTGGGTTAAACTGAACAATCTTTTCATGTTTAGGAGATATCTTCAAATTATTTCCTAATTAGTAGAAACTAAGTAATAGGGGCACCTGGCTGGCTCAGTCGGTTAAGAATCTGCCTTCAGCTCAGGTCATTATCCTGGGGTCTTGGGATCAAGCTTGGGAGTCTGCTTCTCCCTCTCCCTCTGCTCCCCCCCTCAACTTGTGTGTTCTCTGTCTCTCTCTCAAATGAATAAATAAAATCTTAAAAAAAAAAACAAACATAAACTAAGAAATAAAGAGTCTACTGAAGTTCTTTATGAAGGTTCATTTGGTGCTTCCATTAATTGTGTTTAGCAAGCCCGGCTCTCTTGGCATGCTTATTTCTATATGTCTATATATATTTCAAATAAAACAGCAGAAAGAAGGGAACGTGCCAGCGGACCAAAATGTACCATATCTTTTGGCTCTAGTAGATGTAACACTCAGAAACATTAAGTTGCACCATATAGTCCAGGAAAGAAAGAAGTTACATTAAAGGATTCATTAAACAAACCAAAGGATACATTAGGATTTGAACTCTGAATAGTGTCCTAAACTGTATCTATTAACTTTTTACTTTATAAGTTGAACTCTTTAACCTCGTGGTACTGAAACAGACTTGAAAAATCACATAGAAAACATAACTTGGAAATAACTTAGACATCTGACATTTATAAGGAATTACGGCTTTATTTTTAAGATGCATGGGAAGGTGAAATTAATTGCAGCATTTAACAAAGGTTTTAGTCATGTTAAGGCAGAAAAACAAAACAAAACAAAACAAAAAACAAAAAAAACTTGTTCAGGGAAATATTTCCTGTAGAGTTTTAGACTTACTGCTGTGTGTGTCCTAAAGCATAAAGTCCCTATACATAGTAGAGTAACCAGTTGTTTTGTATTTTTTAAGGAGATAATACACACCTATCTGGAATTGCACTTAGCACATAGTAAAAGCTCAATAAACGCCAGCCATCTTCCTTTTCATTACTGTTTATTACTACTTATTTGGCAAGTGTGGGGGCTCCTTTATTCTGCCTTACACACTGCCTCTAGGACCTCATTTTCTACCATGCTCCCCCATACTCCCAGCCATAGTGGCTTTCTTACTCTTTCTCAAAGATACCACACACTCTTTTCTACCTCAGACCCTTGTGTGTGCTGTTCCCTCTGCCTGGAATAGGCTTGTTCCAAATATCTACATGACTCCCTCCCCCTTCAATCTTTGTTCAGATGTTACCTTCTCAGGGAGAATGGCCCTAACCACCGGTAACCTTCCTGCTCTCCCCCAGGACTCCATATTCCCCTGACCTGCTTTCAGTTTTCTCTGGAACACTACCATCCTCCACCAGAGTGTATCATTTACACTTTTATTAAACTTGTCTGTCTTCCCCCTACAAGAATGTAAGGCCCACAAGGAGCTTTGTGCTTTGAATAGTGGCCAGCACATGATGGGTGCTCAGTAGGGGATGTGTGCTCAGTGAGGATGGGGGGAGAAGGCATGGAGACACAGTTCCTGCCCTGTTGTTAAAGACTCAGAGCTGACTCGAGCTGAGAATCAAAACCAGAACAAGACAAAGTAATAAAATAATATGTCTAGTCCGACTGTTATTTATACACAGAAAGTCTGAAAATATGGATTTAAACTAGAGTGATTCATTCTGGTATATCTGAAGTTTGGTTTTGAGGATAAACAAATATTGCCAGACTTTCAGATTTTATTTTTCATTAGACTGTGGTGTAATTTTGCCTTTTTGCAACTGAAGAGTCATGTTGATGTCATTTTCCAGATGTTTGTTCTCTGCTTTGTGTATGTAAAAAAAAAAAATAGTTGTTTGCCTTGAGGGTGGGGGAGTGGGAGAGACTTAACTGATGGGGAAAAAAAATCCACATGGCGATTTCTAGCCCAATGTAGAAATAAGTTCTCACTGTGAGTTCTAGTATGCTGAATGCAGCATAC